TAAATGACAAATGATTAAGTCATCTGAAGTTCTTTATTGTAAAATTTTTATATATTAAAACCACGTCGTTAGTAAGCAATTCAAAACCTATAAAAATTTTTATTTAAACTATTATGAAATAATTAAAAAAATAAAACAAAACAATTTTGTTGATATTTGTATTTTAAAAGTTGAATTGAACAATGGATTAGACTTGATTCAACATGAACACTTTAAAGCGAGTGGCTCAATGTTAGTTTGGATGAGCTTCTTTAATTTTAATACCATGATTTAATAAAACTAGGGTCGGAGTCTAATTCATTCTCTAAGAAATTAGTCAAAATAAGACCATTGTTCATTCTCTTATTTTATTGAATACTTTTATTCCAAATCAACATGGAATAACAAAACTGTGCATTCAGCCAATCAGTGTGGTGCCTGTAAGAAGCAAGACGATTTTTCATGTTTAATTCTCCGATTTCAGCATGTTGTTTACCATTGCGTTATTGGACTAAATCCAAATGAATTTAAAAAAAAAAAACAAGATGCATTTTTTTTTTTTTTTTTTTTTTTAACTTTTGAGCTTGATATGGATCGATTCCTTGTAAGTCGATGCAAGTGTTATTCATTTAAGATTTGTTACTTTCGAACTTGCTTTTAATGTAATTGAGGTCACATGGTGATGTCCATACATAAAAATGATTAAGGCAATTAGGACTACCATTTTTATGTTCAAAAGCCAACCTTATAAATTGACATTAGTGAATAGTGAGCCCTTTGAACTTGACTTTAACCTTTTTCTTTATTTAAACTCGAAATGTGAGCCTTAACTTGTTCTTTTATCCTTTTTATTACCTTAAAGATTTTATTAACCTTAAAGCTAATAGCATGTAGGTTTGCACATGTAGTAAGAAAAGAGAGGATATATTGACCATTGTAGATTGGTTTGGTTTTTCTACTTTGTTGAAAGGAAAGGAAATAAAAAGCCATAAGATAAAGAAAAAGAGATAAGAGAAAAAAATATAATTGAGTATTGAATTCGTGGTGTAGATGTTATTTCGGTCTCATTACATGACCATTATTTGAAAGATTCTTTTGATTTATATTTATCGTATATGATCTGCTAGTCATGTTAGCTGCAAACCGATGTAGCAGACGTATAGTACATTTTTTTTAATTAAACTTTGAATGTTAATTTTAGATAAAATTAATTGCTAATTATATTTGTGTGCTTAATGTAGATTTGTGTTAGTGTATTCTTGATTAAAAAATGAGAAAGTAAAATCTATAGCTCTTTTTGAAAATTTTCGATGAATTAATGAAGCTGAAAATATTAAATACACATAATTGTGTTTAGAATTAATTGTACATCAAGCTTATATAGGTTAATTCTTTTTTTTTGGCTCCTTTCTAATTCTCAACATTATGTATCATATATTAGAATGAGGATTATAAGATATTAATGTTTAATGAAATAAATTTTAGTGAAATTGAATAGTAATATTTTAAATTTTATTTGTTTAATTGTAACACATTACAATTTAATTTTTTTAAATCAATACTGACTTTGTATTACAACTCCTGTTAAGTTATTTGCGGAATAGAATTTTTTTATAAAAATTTAAGAGTTATTTAATATGTAAAGAAAATTTATTAATTAATAATAAAATAATACATTAAATTTATTAGTTTGTAACCCATTATTTAATATAAAATTTAATGTTTTATTAATTAATGAAATATAATGAAAAAATAAAATGACACATCATCATTTTCATATTCTAATATATTGCTATATAAGTATTTATATCTTAAAAAATTATATATTTATATAGATAGATAGTATAGAATCCATACAATTAGAAATGCAATGAATCACCTTCAAAATAAAAAATAAAAAAACATCAAATTTTTTAATAAAGTTTAGCCGTTTAGATGTCAATTCATCCCCTGAGAAAAATGTTAGGGACATTTCCACTAACCCAACAATTAATACAGCTATGAAATGGAATTAAGGATCTATTAAGGTCTTTTTTTTAATTTCTAGATTTGCATGTTTATAGGTTGCAATCGTATCTATTGACAAACAAATCTCATTTATAACATTTTTCTTTATTGCTCTTTTATAATTTTCTTTGATATGATGTTGGTTTGTCACAACTAAGGATTTTTATTATCAAATTAACTGATATGATATTAATTGATATATTTATAAACTTTTTGTCAAAAATATTATTGAGACCTTTCACTTTTCATATTTTCTACATTTTGTAAAAAAATATTGTTGTTCATTTTACAAGATATTTATGATTATCTTATGATAATTAGACTTTTTTAGAATAATTCTTGGAATTCTATTTTTCTTGAAAAATATTTTTCCATAAAAAATTGAATTTCGGTGAATAAATTCATCTTACCTCATAATAGTTGAAATATTCAATTTTATTTAATTTATTAGATTTTCCTTACCGGTCATAAGTAGTTGAATATTATTCAAGTTTTATTATTTATTAGATTTCAAAAAAAAAACAATAAAAACTAAATCTCAACTATTTAGTATACAACTTCGCCAAATTAAAAAAAAAAAAACTAAATCAAACTATTAGTATAAACTTGCAAATTTTACAGTACGAAGGATCTTATATGCATGAGATAATCGTATCGTGCTATTGCTATCAATCCATTACTTAATAGTCACTTATACTCGGGGTATTATTATTTTTTTTTGGATATAATCGATAGGTATAATTCTCCTTATGCGTAAAGGTTTTTTATACCTCCAGTAAAGTACGGAGTACGCTTTCCGGAAATCGAACTTGTATTCTCATTTTTTCGAAAATTGAAGTCACTTGTCACTTTAACCAACACGTTGTTGATGGTATTTATTTAATAAATCTAATAACGACCAATTAAAGAAAAAAAGATTACAAATGTCTTTTTACTTTACCAAAAATCAAAATAGCAATAAAGGTAACTAGATGTGTGGTTTAGTTAATCTTTTCTCTTAAGGAGAACGAGTTACGAGTCTTTTCAAATATAAAAATATTTGCTAATTATTATGAAATTGTAAAGATATTTCTATGGTGACTCATGATTGAATGGAGCAAATTTTATATCATATATAACTAAATAGCGGGCCAAAATAGTAAATATAACATTGCAAAGATAGGCCAACCTGGTTGAAAAGAAATGACCAAAGGAACAATTGAACATATATATAGAGAAAGAGGCATGGGAGAGGCACATGCATATGTCCAATTTAGTCAAAGTTTATATCTTTTTGGTTCAAAAAATTCACTCTTTGTTAAAGGTGAAAAAGAGTGTTTGGTAGACCCCTTTTTTATCGCCTTCCCAACTTCTTTGTAATTTATTGTTTTGTTTTCATTAAAATTATAAGCATTTTTTAGGGTTTCTTAAAGGGAAAAAAATGTCATGATTAAGAGAAGAATATAACAGAATAACAATAAAAAGATGTAGCAATATAATAAAAGGGGAGAGAGAGATGGGAGGAAGAAGATCGAGCTTTAAGCTGAGATGAGATTTGAGAATGTTACGTTTGTTTAAAATAATTTGTAAGAAAATACTTTTTACAATTTTTCATTATTTGGGGATGTTTAAGAAAATAAGTAAAGAGAAAATATTTTCATGGTCAAAGGAAATAAAGTTATTTTTAAGAAAAGTAACTTTTCATTTTTAAGAGTGTAAAATATTTTTCAGACATTAATATATTTATTATAACCTTATAATTTTTTAATTTATTAATCATTGATAGCTACTATTACCACTTACCATTCGCTACTAGCAGATACTGTCGGCCACCACTATCGATCACTGACAACGTTCATAATTTACCTTTTTTTGCATTCTTCTCATATTTAACAATAAAATGGTTAAAATATGAAATTTCTATTATTATTAATATTTTTATGGTCTTATAAGTTAAAATTTTAATATTTTTAATTAAAATATGAAATTTCTATTATTATTAATATTTTTATGGTCTTATAAGTTAAAATTTTAATATTTTTAACTAATTTTTAATATTACAATCAAATAACAAAAAAAATTATTTAAAAAATATTTTTCAAGGAAAACATCATATGTCTTCTGAAAAAAACGTAACCTAAATCGTTATGTCTTTTCTTCCTCCTTCTACGTATAAGTATAAAATATTCCATTCAATTTTCTTTTTTTGACTATTGCAATAATGGTGTTCATAATGTGTCTTTCTTCCCCCTTTTCCTCCCTCTTTCCATGTATAAATACAAAAATATTCACAGTATTTTTTTTTCCTATTAAAATTATGGGACCGATAAGTATATATATTAATTATTAATTTGTTAAAGTAAATTTATATAATAAGTTACCTATCATACAATTTATCATTTAAAATGATAGTTTTAACATGGATAATGGACAGTGATTATATTTTGATTATCTAAACATTAACGACATTAACGGTGGATTTTTTGATTTTTGATTAACTAAATAGATTAATTAATAATATAGTATTTTTGATGTTTGAAATATTTCTTGAAATTTGCAAATTATGACCAAGAGTTACATAATTATCTAATTATGATTTAAAAAAATTATTAAATTATGATTGTGAGGTCAATTTTCCTCAGTATTTATACTGTGATTTTTATACTTATCAGCAACTGGATTCAATTGAAATAGCTTTTACAAGTGAGCAACAAACTGTAATTATACAAATCAAGCGAAGCGCAAACACGGCACATAAGATCCATAAACTGTAATTATACAAATCAAGCGAAGAGCCAAACACGGCACATTAGATCAGCTCACACACGCACTAAAATATCTCTATTTTTTGCTTTACTCTGGCATCGCCTCACTTTTCTCTCTTTCCCACTTCCACTCACTCACTTTCTTAAAGCTTCTTTGAAGTTTCTGTGATGATGACTCTCAAATCTCAGTGGTTTAGCTTTATATATACTCTTCTACGTTTTATAAAACTCGCCCTTCTACGGCTTCTTGTGTCATTTGAACTTTCCGTTATGGGTTCTTCTTTCCCTTCTTCTGCTTCAACCTCTTCCCAGCTAACCCCTTCTTTTATCATTAATGCCAATGCTGCTTCTTCTCCATCCTCAACCTCTTCCCATCAAATCCCTTCCGAGCTTAATAACTATGAAGTTTTTATTAATTTCAGAGGCATAGACGTCCGTGATGGTTTTCTATCCTTTCTCTTTGAATCTTTGAAGGAAAAAGGAATCGATACCTTCAAAAATGAAAACCTTCAAAAAGGAATTGAAATGACACCAGCCCTCAAGCAAACAATTCAAGAATCACGTATTTCCATTGTCATATTCTCCAAAAACTATGCAGATTCTCCATGGTGCTTGGACGAGCTTGTTGTGATAAATGAATGCAGAGAAAAGTCAGGGCAAATAGTTTTGCCGGTTTTTTACCGTGTAGATCCAACTGATGTTCAAGAGCTGAGAGGCCCTTTTTTTACCATGTAGATATCCAACTGATGAAGGAGTGAGAGGCCCTTTCGCAAGGGCACTTGCTAGGCTTTTAAAAGATCACAGCGATAGTTCACACAACCTGGGTGGATGGTGCCATGCTTTGAAGACAATCAGCAACGACTTAAGTGCTTTTGTTTCGAATGAGATCAAGTAAAGCTATCATTTTCCCCCGTTTACTTTTCCATGTCTTTTTTATTTTCTATTCATCAATAATAGATCAATCTTGCGCACACAATAGATGGCTTTTAGTCACGATATCCACTCCTTTGAACTCTCACTTATTTTTATTTTCTTGTTAAAATTCTGTTTCATTTTCTCCTATTCCTTCAATCATCCTATTCCTTCAATTCATGGTTTTAACCGCACACCCAGTTTTTTCCAAACACTTAATTGAGTCTATTACTTATGAAAATATATATAGTTTTGGCTGTACTTTTGTGTTGTTCCATTTGTCATTCAGGAAATATCAACTGCAGTTCAAAGAATCGTCAATCAGTGTTTCAGAGAGATATTAGTCATGTCATCAAATGCTGAGTTAGCCATAACAGTTAGTTGGAGATTGTATTCGCGTGTCCGACGCAAGTAATTATCGTTATTGGAATATGAGTATATGACAGAAGACTGGAAATAGGAATATTGGGGAATCGGCTGGGTATTGGAAACGACAACTCTGCTGCGTATAAGTGTTTGTCTGCAAATCAAGGTGTAAATCTGATGCGCACGCTTTGTTTAAAAGTCAAGGAACAGTAATAAGGAAGGAAAAGCTCATGTGTTTACGGATACAAATCATCGTCCGTGCACTATCGGGAAGAGCAAAACTTTTGATATGGGCTCACCTCGTTTTAGTTTTAGATGGATCTTGGATTTTGAGGAGCTGCATACGAAGTGTTCTAGAAAGTTCCGATTGTTTTTTGATGACGTGAGATTGATCACGACGATTTAGATTTCTAGCTGGATACTGTAGTTGGTAACCAGAAGGGAAGTAGAATAGATTTACTAAGCTAGTACAGATCAGACAAGTAACTTTTTCGAATTGTTTGCCATGAACGAACATATTTATGCGGGTTGAGGGGAGATTATATTTGATTGAGGAAGCTCGTCCAACACCTCTTGAGTTGCAGCGCTTTCATCGAAACATGAAAGCTGAAAGAAGGATATTGGAGCATCCGAGCAGGTATGAAGTTCATGCTCGCAAGGTCAATTTAGCACTAAAAGTTTTAGGCTCTAGCCTTTATGGCAAGGAGAAAGAGTACTGGGAGAGCCAGTTGCTCAAATTGAAAAGCATCCCGAACAAGAGAATTCAAGATGTTCTAAAAATAAGTTATGATGGGTTAGATAGAAATGAGCAGAGCCTATTTCTGGATATTGCATGTTTGTTTGGAGAAGGATATCCAGATGGAGATGAGCTTGAAAAAATAATAGAATGTTTTGGTTTCTTAGCGAAATGTGGAATATGGAGTCTCGATGATAAATCTCTCATAACCATTTCAGGAAGGCAAGTAAAAATGCACAACTTACTAAAACAAATGGGAAAGGAGATTGTCAATAAGGAATGCAAACAGCCTGGAGGACGTAGTAGGTTGTGGAATCCTGAGGACATTTCTCATGTATTCAAAACAAATACAGTAAGGAGCAAAATTTGCTACATTTTTCTTTTGTTGTTTTTTAATATTTGAATAATTGAAAATTGAACTTACCGCTCCACATTATTAGTGATGATTCCAATAGCTTTTATTTTTTTGAACTTACCGCTCCACATTATTAGTGATGATTCCAATAGCTTTTATTTTTATATATTTTATACTCAATTACCTATTTTCATTTGTTGTTCATTTATTAGGGAACTGATAAGATTGAGTGCATTTCGTTTCGAATGTCGAGTGATGGAGCTATTGAGATAAATTCCAAAAATTTCATGAAGATGCCTAATCTTAGATTCCTCCGAATCACTCGTTCCAAATGGATTTTGCCTGATGACCTTGATTTTTTTCCAGAAGAGCTAAGATATTTATGTTGGTACGGTTACCCTTTGAAATCGTTGCCGTTGAAGTTTTGCCCAAATAACCTTGTACAACTTCTCTTGCCTGAAAGCCAACTCAAACAACTGTGGGATGGAGATAATAAGGTATATTTCCTAAACTTTAATATTTCTATTTGGTGTAAATGAACCTATAACATAATAAGATGTAGTTTGATAATAATGATAGTTTGAATAAACTTGTATTTAGTTGAGTTAAATTTATAAAAAATGGTTTGATGAGAGTGGCAGATCCAATACTTTTTTTTACAAATTGGTCTTAATATAGTTAAAGGTCAAATCATTGAATTAAATGAGACTTTTTAATTTCATCAAGTAATAAAAATTTAGATCAATCAATATATGATTAGTCCAAACTGAAGAAATTCAAATGTTAAGAATATACTTTTGGCTTATTTAAATAACAGATGATGTGTTAATTTTTACCCTTAGAGCAACAACAAATAGAAACTATCTAGACATAAGTTTATTAATCTCCATACTTTAAATTGGCTTATTTTAATTTTGGTATGTGTACAGAAAATTATATTAAAATACAATTTTTAGAAATACAATTTGTTAAGAAATCTATTTGATTAAATAAACAAATAAGTAAATAACACTTTTGATTATAAAATTAGATTATTTGTGAGTAATGTTGGACTTTATGTTTTTAGTTATTTGTAAATTTAAAAATAACATAATAAGAAATAGCTGAAACATAAAAATATATAATTAGCTTTTCAACTAAATATCAGACTTGGTTGACAAGGTACAACAACTCAAGAGATTTCCAAACTAAGCCTACATTCCACATTGATCATTTTCTCACATTGATCATTTTCTCAAAAAATATATATAAGATAAAATTTTTGAGACATGGGGGCCATGGCCCCTGCTAGCCAGTAGCCACCCCATCGTTCCACCATTGGATGAGTAGTGAAAATTTTTTTTTTTTTCGATAAATAACAAATATATGTAAAACATGAAATTTTAATAATTCATATTCTTGCTCTTTTTATTACAGCCTTTTAAAAGTTTGAAAGTTATGGACCTCAACAGATCTCTGTCTTTATTGAGACTTTCGGACCCATTTCAAGCCCCATGCCTTGAGGTATTATGTTTGGGAAGTTGTAGAAGTTTCATCGAGATTCCTTCATCTCTTAATTATTCAACCAAGCTTACTCGGCTAGACTTAAAGTACTGTGTAAGTATTCGCAGTTTGCCAAGCTTCTTGTAAGAATTAATCTCAAATAATTCCATAATAACCTAGATCGTGCAAATCACTAGATTCAACAAAATAGATTGAATAAGAAAAGGTTGCGTACCTGGTTGCGTAGCCGACATGCGTTGTTTCGCGATTTGATGTGTAGAATTTAGGTTTTGCAGCCTCCAGGAGAATGAAGAACTCGTTTTGCCGGAAGCAGTACGAAGTGAACGTAAAAACGTGAATCGTCATTCAAGCTCCTCTGGGGACCAGACTTTCTATATACCTGTAGGTTATAACGATTCCTATTTTCGGTCCTTTAACGAAAAGGAATTATATAATGGTCTCTACACTTAAAATATCTATATTTCGAGTTGATACCTCAAGTAGCTCAATTATCCTAATCAAGAACCACATTGAAATGACTTTAGACAAATTGGACTGCTGTACATAATTTAATTACATGTATTGAAGCCACGATAAAAATTAAATCCAATCAATCTCCTCACTGGGCGAACATCATGTAAATAAAACTACATACATCCAGATGAGCTTCAACAAACGGCAGTCATACAAGGTATCTCAAAAACAATCTCGTCCATTAGTTGATATGATAAAGAGCTGAAGAAACATTTCGTCATAGGATCCTCATGAACTAAGTTTCATCATCAACTACATGTACCGAATACCCCTAAATGCCCACAGATTCATATAAGAAGTGTAGCATGAAACCTACTGTATATTGATCACAGCCTGTTTCCAACTGCAACTGGCACCAACAACAAGTGAGATCAAGCATAAACAATAATCAGATAATACAGATGTAAACCATCAACCAAAATGAGTAATCAACAAAATTTCATAATAAACATATCCAAAATAAAAATAGAGCATTCAAAGACATGAATGTATGCATAAACGAGCAAAGCTCCCCCACTAAAACTAGACCAGTCTCAAGACAAAACGATACCCATAGTGGAACGGATTGTGCCTGCATAGAACTTTAAAACTTTCGGTATCACTGCCTTTGTAAGCGGATCCGCAATCATAGAGTTTGTTCCAATATGCTCTAAGGATATCTGTCCACTCTGTACCCTCTCCTTCGTAGCCAAGAACTTAATGTCAATGTGTTTTGATCGAGAAGAGAGAAGAGCTCCTGTTGTTGTTGGAGAATAAAACGGCTGACCTGCTGTCACAATACAACTTCAGTGGTCTTTCTATTCCACCTACTACACGCAGCCCATTGACAAGGTTTCTCAGCCAAATAGCTTGATTGGATGCCTTATAAGATGCTACAAATTCAGCTTCCATGGTAGAGGTTGCTACTAGAGTTTGTTTCACACTCTTCCAAGAAATAGCACCGCCAGCCAATAGAAAACGTAGCCAGATGTGGATTTTCTACTGTCTTGGCATCCAACGAAATCAGAATCAGTATCCAGCGAAATCAGAATCAGTATACCCAATGATCTCAAGCTGATCTGATCTCCTATATGTGAGCATATGTCCCTTAGTCCTCTGAAGATATCTCATGGCTCTTTTGGCTGCTTTCCAATGATCCATTCCTAGATTGCTGAGATATCTACCTAACATGCCAACTATAAAAGAAATGTCTGGACGAGTACAAACTTTAACATACATAAGACTTCCTATAGCTGACGTATAAGGAACCTTTTGCATTTCCTAAATTTCAAGTTCACTCTTTGGACATTGTTGATTACTAAATTTATCACCTTTTGCAATAGGGGTATCCAATGGTCTAGAATTCTGCATACTAAATCTCTTCGAGCCACTTTATCAATATAGCTCTTTTTGTGATATCCAAAGAATAACTCGAGAACTGGTCCGATGTAAATCTGACATCCTAACACAAAGAAAGAACTTCACCTAAATCTTTATCTCAAAATGCTTTGGGAAAGAAGAAAGATATCTTTGGTTTCATGTAGCAAGAACTTTACAATAGTAAAGCAAGAAGTATGTCATCCACATATAAGAAAGCCAAAAAGAAGAACCTACTCCACTGAACTATGGTACACACAAATTTTCAACAGTATTTGCCTCATTTGCCTCAAAGCCAAACGAGACAATTACTTAGTTGAACTTAAAGTACCATTGACGAGAAGCTCGCTTGAGTCCATAAATGGATTTCTTTAATTTGCATACCAGATGTTTTGGATCTCCAATTACAAAATTTTCTGGTTGCACCATATATATTGTTTCATCAATGTTGCCATTGAGAAACGTAGTCTTAACATCTATTTGATGAAGCTCAAGATCAAGATTTGCAACTAAGTCCATGATTGTCCTAAAAGAATCCTTCGAAGAAACTGGAGAGAAGGTTTCTTTATAGTCAGTCCCTTCCTTTTGAGTAAAGCCTTTTGCTACAAGACGTGCGTTATATCTTTCCACATTACCTTGAGAATCCCTTTTGGTTTTAAATATCCATTTGCAACCAATGGGTTTCTTTCCTTCAGGTAATTGAACAAGATCCCAGATCAAACTTGATTGTCCTTGCCATAGACTTATACTCTTCGTACATTGCCTCAAGTCCACTATGAGAGTCAGGAACTCTGATGGATGAATAGAAAACTAACTGGATCATCCATCTATCATGTACAGTATCCTCCTTGTTCCTGAAGAAACACTATAAGATCATACTGAATATGCACTTCTGTCTCTCCCCTAGTTAGATCTGCCTCAAAGCATTTGAAACAGACCTAATTCATTTGAGTTGTGAGAACTTTGTTCCTGAGAAGAAATAGCAGTGGTTCTGAATTGATCTTAATATTGTGACAACGGAGCAACTGGAGTCTGTAACGCTATCTAGAAAAACAAAAGGAATGAGAACCGGAATCCACGTACTGGGTCCTCCTTCAAAAGACAATGTTCTTTCTTAATTCTCCTCCAATATCAAACATTCTCAAAAAATGTTGCAATGTCTCGGTCTTCAAAATAGGTCTAGAAGTAGGAAAGTTATAAAATTTGTAACCCCTAGAGCCGCCTCAGAAATCCAACAAAGTATGCTGCTGATGAGTTTTGGAGTCCAGTTTTGTTCATTCGGTTGTAAGGCCTTGCTTTAGCTGGACATCCCCAAACATGAAAGATGCTTTTAGACCTAGGACTTACGCCAGTCCAAAGTTCAATAAGCGTGTTTTAAGGCAAACTGCTTTAGATGGAAGCCTATTTGAGAAGATAAGCTGCTGTCTTTAACGCTTCACCCCGACTAGTAGACTCTGGTAAAGTAGAATTGACTAATCATACTTCCTTGACCATAGTCGCATGAGAGTCTATTACTCTCTCCAGATGACAACCATTCAGCTGGGCAGTATCCAAAGGCAGTGTATATTGAGGGACACATTCCACATTCCTGTAGAAAAGGCAAAAGGTCCTGGACAGTTGTCGCCTGAACCTCATATTTACCATAATATTTCACCACCACGGTCAGAATCGACACACAGGATTTAATCTTCTTTCCTAGTTGATTTCGAACTCGGCTTTAAAGATTAAAACTCCAAGACCAGATTTTTCAATGAATAGATATAAGTAAACATAACGGAGAATAGTCACAATGATGCATATCTTTGGCCATTTCTAGCTGCAATATGGAATGGACCGCAAATATCTGTATGAATCAGTTCTAAAACATTGGATGACCGAATGGCACCTAGTCTCTTCTGTTTAGTCTGTTTTCCTTTAATACACTCAATACAAGAATCCAAACCTGTGTAATCAAGTGTATCTAAGATACCATCAGAAACAAGACGCTCAATCCTTGATTTGGATACATGACCCAAACGTCTATGCCAAAGTACAACTGAGTTATCAATATTCAATTTTCTTTTGGTACCTCCTTTCTTTTGGTACCTCTTGTAGTAACATGTAGGGATTCATGATAACTAGTATCAATGTCTAACATATATAGATTATCACATTCATTCAAGCAACCAGTACTCAAAACTTTTGAATTCATAGATAAAGTTTTCTCTCACTCAAGTAAGTCCACTTATAATCCCATTCTACCCCAACCGGGTTTGGTTCAACTCGACTCGACTCGACTCGACTCTAAGACTCGACTCGGTAGGATGTCACAGTATCGTTTATAATTTATTTAAACATAATCTAAAATGTCCAATTGCCTCTACTTCAACCGGATCGCCATTTCCTACATAGACGTATCTTTCACCGTCAGTTGGCTTTCTGTAGTTGAGGCAGCCCTACAACGAAACACCTATATGAGCGGTAGCACCAGAATCCATCCAATAAGTGTTTTTAGGAGCTGTTTAAATTAACTTCACAACAGACTAAAAACACAAGGTACTTACCCCTCTTTGCAAGCCAATTAGCAAATTTAGGACAGTCCTTTCTCAAGTGATCCGTCTTTCCACAAAAGAAGCATTTTGGCACATAAGGCTTCTTTTGTACTGGATCTACAGCAGTAGCAACAGCAGGTTTCTCAATAGCCTTTTCAACAGTCTTTGCAGAAGGCCTCTTTCTTTTCTTGTTCTTGCCCTTCTCAGCTGAAGAAACAAAATGAGCACTCTCTCTTTTGTTAGAATTCATCTTTTCCTCCTCATCAACACAATGAGATCCTCCTCATCAACACAATGAGAAATGAGCTCGTTAAGAGTCCATTTATTCGGCTGACAATTATAGGAAGTCCTAATTTGTCCATACTGAGAAGGAAGAGAATTCATAACCAAATGGACTAAAAGGTCATCTGGTAAAGCCATACCCAGCACCTTCAGTCTCTTTGCAATCTGAGACATGCTAAGAATATGCTCCCGAGCACCACCATTGCCAGCAAACTTCATGGAGGTTAATTTTCCTAAAAGTGTTAGTTTTTCTTATCACTTCGGTTTCACTATAACCTTATGGAGCTATACAGATATCTTGCTTTATCATTGCATGAATCATACAGTATACTAAATAGAAATAAAGACCATCAAGGTAAACTGAAAGTATCGCGATATGTGTGCTTATATGTGCTATATGTGTTTACATGCTTATTTCTATATATGAGTGTTCCTTTTTATGTTGAGATATCCACTGAGCTTTATTTGCTCAGCGAGTTACCTGTTTAACTCGCAGGTTTTGAGACTG